ATATATGGGGGCAGGCCTCAGATAGTAAGTTAAAGGCTGGAATGAAACAAAAAGGCCAGCTTTTGTCAGACTGCCTTAACCGTCAGCTTCTGCAGGCATCCTGCCTTCCAGCCAGCACTCAAGATTTGGTTCGATCATCTTTGAAATCCTATATATAGCTGATACATATAATTTAAAGGATAAAGTTGGTTATCGTAGATTGATTAAAAGCAATAGATCAAGAAGATACAGTATAAACATATGTTCTGGCAATAAGTGGAGAGGCATGACCTAACCATATACACTCAAAATACAGAGAATAAAAACTAGTAGAAAAGTGGGGATAGAAATAATAAATCAAACAAAATATTGTTAGATATTTTTGATAAGGGAGATGAGAAATAAGCATGCAAAATGTTTGAATAAGAAGATATATAAGTTATCTTCTATCTTTCAATAATATCTAACTGTGCATACTGCCAAAACGTTCACTGTTTCAAGTGCAGTATTCATGGGGTATTTATTTGTTTAATTATTTACCTCCTTATTTTTTATGGCTCCGTGAATTGAACTCAGGACCTTTTTATTGAGCTACATTCCCAGCACTGCCTTGCCTTTATTTTTTATTTTGAGAAGTCTCACTGAATTGCTAAATTGACCAGGCTGTGCTTGAATTTGTAATCTTTCAGCTCACACTATAAGGAGAAAAAATACAACCAAATTTCTATCTCCAATGTACCCTGGGAAAGTGTCTAAATAGGGAAGACAGAAGACATTGTTAATCTTGTATCATGATTTGAAACCCATATTGCTTTCATCACTCTGTTTAGTTTGGTTATATTCTGTCCCAGTTTGTCTACTTGTACTAGATTTGAGGATATAGACAACTATTCCAAAGATATCAGGGTATACTACAGTAACCATTTTTAATTTCCTATTAACTTAATCTGAAACCCGGTATTGCTCTCGATGCCTTGTTTTGACTGATTCTATCTTGTTCAATCGCTGTCATGTCTTGACTGATTTTACTTGAATCTGTTGTGTTTGATAGTATCAAATCTGAGGGTATAGGCAACTACTTTGAAGCCAATAATATTCACTATGATACCCATTCTGGCTTGACTATTACCCTCTTTTGACGTCCTATAATATCTCCCATGTTTGTTTTTACTGATTTTGTTCTATACTGCTATGTTCAATTTTATTGTATGTGATGATATGGGCAATTCTATTGAAGATAATAAGAAACATCATGGTAACCATTGTAGATCACCTTGTATTGTGTTTTTAAATTATGTACTATTATGTATTATGTACTATCATGTATTATGTATTATGTCCTTTTGTTTTAGATGACACCATTTTGTTTTTTTTCTCATTTGGTTTTATTCTCTTCAAAATAAAAAAATCCCTATCTCCTATTATGTAAAAATAACCTTCAAATGCATTTAAAAATCTGAAGACCAAATATACAAGGGGTGACTGAAACATATGGTAAGTGTCTACATAACAGTAAAACATATATTGCTGTTAATCTCCCCCAAAAACACAGCCCCTCACCTTCAACACACCTTTCCCATCATCCTTGCCACTTCCTGAAGCAGTTCTGGAAGTCCTCTTTCCAGAATGTTTTTACAACATGTCATAAAATATATGGTGAGTGCTGCTCCTGGATGCCATCCAACAGAAATTCAGGCTGCTGAAAACATCAGGCTGTGTCCTCATTAACCCGATTCACGGGATCTGGCACCGTGCAACTTCTGGTTCTTCCCTGTAATCAGAGTGTCTGTGAAGGGTGAACATTCTGAATCAGTTCAGGATGGCAAGGCAGCCACGGCGGTGCAACTAAAGACCTGAAAGAAGACTCCCAGGACTGCTTCTGAAAGTGGCAAGAAGGGCTGGGAGTTGGTGACACATGCCTGTAGTCCCAGTATGCTGAGAGGCTTGGATTGCAATCTGAGGCCAACCTGGGCAATTTAGTGACTAAGTGAGATCATGTCTTAAAATAAAATTAAAAAGCGATGCTTGATGTGAAGGCCCAAACAAAACACAAAACAAAACAAACAACTGGTAAAGGGAATGGGATAAATGTATTTGAAGCAAGATGGAGTATTTTGAGGGGGTTAATGGGAATGTGTCTTTTACTATAATACATTTTTTTTAAAAATTAAGGATTTGTTATGTGTTTGTTTATTGTGCATAACATCAAAAATCAGTAGATTAGTAATAGATTGTTTAACAAATGGCATTGGGAGAATTAGCTTATTTTAAGCAGAAAATATAATCAAATCCCTGTTATGGTTGATACACTGTGTCAACTTGAGAAGTTTAGAAATTTAACTAAGACCCCAAAATTCAAAGATCCAATCCAAAAATGGGATCTGAGATGAATATGCATTTCTCAGATGAAGAAATGCAAATGGCAAATAAATACATGAAAAAATGTTCATCATCATTGGCTATTAGAGAAATGCAAATTAAAACCACACTGAGATACCATCTCACTCCTGAAAGAATGGCCAGGATCAAGAAAACCAACAACAACAAATGCTGGAGAGGCTGTGGGGGAAAAGGAACTCTCCTACACTGTTGGTGGGAGTGTAGACTGGTACAACCTTTGTGGAGGTAAGTCTGGAGATTTCTCAAAAAGCTGGGATTGGAAGTCCCATTTATTCCAGCTATTCCACTTCTAGGCATATTCCCAGAAGAACTGAAAGCATCATACCACAGTGATATATGTGCACCTATGTTTATAGCAGCACAATTTGTAATCGCCAGATCTTGAAAACAACCCAAGTGTCCATCAACTGAGGAATGGATAAAAAAGTTGTGGTATTTCTATACAATGGAGTATTATTCAGCTATAAAGAAGGATCACATTGAGATATTTATCAATAAATGGGCGCAGCTTGAGACCATACTCATAAGTGAAATAAATCAATCTCGCATGTGTGAATACCGAATAGTTTCCCTAATATAAGTAATGATTCAAATATATAAAAGTATGTGGCAATCATGATTCCCCATTATGTGGCCTTGAAGCCTTACAAAGTTTTTACTTATTAATTGGAAAGGCTTTATTCTGGGCTTCTTGATATGGAAATATTTGAAGCTATAATATATGAAGTTATATTCAAATATTTCAAGGAAAAAGACAGACACTATGGTAACTACTATTAAGTCAGGTTATTTGGTGGTGAAGCACTAGGTTGCTGAAACAGTCATGCTTTGACCTGTATTGTTATATTGTTATGTCCTGTTTTATCTCAATCTCTCCCTTATTCATTAAAAAATTATTTAGTTATTTCTTATGTTTGTTTTAATTAAGGGGAAAAATAAACAGGATATATAATAGTAACTTTTTTTTATTTCCTATTAACTTGTTTTGAAGTCCTGTAATACTCCCACTATCTTGTTTTGAGTGATTAGACTCTGTTCCATTCTATATGATAGTATCAAGTTTGAGGGTATAGGCAACTACTTTGAAGGCAATAAGATTCACTAAGATGCCCATTCTGGTTTGACTATTGTCTCCTTTGGAGGTCCTGTAATGTTTACAATGCTTAGGTTTTATTGGTCTTGTTCTCTACTGTTTTGTTCAATTTTATAATATCTAATGAGATAGACAATTCTTTTTAAGGAAACAAGAGACATTGTTGATAACCATTGTTGATAACCTTGTGCTCTGTTTTACATCATGTGCTATGTCTATCCTTGGTTTTGACTGACAGCTTTGTTTTGCCATATTTGACTTTATTCTCTCCCCCCCCAAAAAGTAATAAGAACTAAGGAGTAATAAAACCCAAAACGTGTAAATTTTGTTGTAAAAAAGAGAGGGAAAAAAAGAGTTCTAAAGGATACAACAGCAAGTGTGTTTAGGGGTGTTAAATAGCTGACCATATTAATGTTTTTGGTTGGATCATTGAACACAACTGTTTGCAGTCTCACTGTTTGAATGTCCACTTTGTATGCTTTGATACTGTGATTTGAGCAACTATCTCTAAGATGATAATATGTAATCTATTAACTGGTGATTTCTTACTGTTTTTTTTTTTTTGTAGTTCTGTATTACTTGTACCCTCAGACCACTTTGTTTTGTTTTGTGTTTTTCTCTTTTTCCTTTTAAATAAAATTAAAAAAAAAAGAAATTTAACTAAGAGACTCAGCAGGGAGACAGCATCCTTATTTTGTAAATATCCTCAGCCTGTGCAAGAGGAGGGCACAGAGGTGGTGTGAGTGCTACACCAGTCCTGGGGCATGGGGATGATAGCTGTTTATAATATAAGAGAGGAAAAGAGGCTTGTTTCCCCCATTTTGCTCTTGTTGCTTTTCTGTCTTCTGCAGCCTGGAAGTGTTGCACCTGTGCCCTGCCACCCTGCCTTGGAACCAGCTGATTATGGACTAAAACCTCCACAAACTGTGAGCAAAATAAACCTTTCCTTAATTTTGGGTGTTGGATATTTTGTCTCAGCAATGAGAGAAAAGTAACTAAGACGCTTGTCTTCTATTTCATTATTAATAAACTCCAAATGTGTTAAAAATGTAGAATGTGAAGGAAAAAGAAGAAATACAAATTATTAGGAAAAGAAAGGATTTTTCTTTTGATTTTTTTTCTTTTTGAGACAGGGTCTCACTATTTAGTTCAGGCTGGCCTTGAACTCACAGTGATTTGTAGCATCCTGCTACAGCTCTAGATGTTTTCAGAGGGAAGGATGGTGAAAGGATAGGAAAGAAAAGAGACAAAAGCTGAGGTCAGGTAAAGCCCTTTCTCTGGATGGGAGGAAGGAACTGCTCAACCACTGTAGTGTGTCTATTTAAGCATTAGCAATTTCGTGTTACATGACATCTTGTTGCCTCGTAATCTGCATCCATGGCAACCTAAGGGCTTGGTGTTCTTGGGACTGGAATACCTGTTTTCCAGGGGCACTCATTGTTTTTCTACTGGGCTTGCCTGTATTTGTGATCAATCTCCAGCTTCAGCTGCTCCCTAAATCTTTCCTTTTTCTGTTTTGTAGTTGCAAGTGATGGGTGGTTAGTTGAAGTTGGAGGAACTATGTTTGGAAGACTCTGCAAACAAATTTCTCTCTTGCAGTTATGCTTTTCTAGTGGATGTTTAAGATCAAGTGAAGATAGACCTGCACTAATTACAATTTGACTGTCTATCAAGGTAATTTAAGTCTCCTCAGGAATCACCTTGGAACATGCATAGCACCTCTTAGTGCTTCTGTCAGTGTCAGCCATCTGAATGAGTCATGGCCATTGCTTGGCCAGGTTGCTTCTGTGAAAGCTTGGGAGATTTCTCTCTCCTGGTGACTCTCCTTAGGCACACTATACACCATTTATCACTTCTCTCTGTGGTTCTCCAATCTCCTTGATCAGAAGATCAGGGACTCACCAAGTATAAGATGTTGCAGTAGAGGTTCTCTTATGTCCTGGGTCCTTATTGACCTTGGAAGACTAGGGCCAGAATATTGGTTATCCTCTTAGATCATCTATCTCTTTAATTTTTGGTCTCTAAACCTCAGTTATTGAACATCCAGAAGAGAAGTTTGATAATAGTAAGTGTAACAGAGGCAGTAAGCTTAACATTACTATCTTGTCTAAATATCAAGCACCTTAGAACATAAAATGGAACTGTTATTTCCTACTAATCATGGATTTGAATCCCTATAGAATGTTAACAGTTACATAGTTTACACAGAAAATTAGAAATCAAAACCATACATAATCCTATAGTATGACAATTATGATATTTTTGTAACATATTTGAATTTGCATTTTGACATAATTAGTCAGTCATCCCTATCTAACACATATGAATCTTTTATTTAACTTCTTGACTTTTAGTGGGATATATATCTCATAAGTTTTTGTTAAAGCTAGAGCCCTTTGTTAAAGGCTGTTCATGGATATGGCAAACAAAGAAACAAGTACACAGCTTAACAGATTGGACAAACTTATTACAAAATTAGAGTGCACTGAAATATATTTTTGACTAAATTGAATTATAAGTTTTTACAGTTTTACAAGTTATAACTATAAATAGACTAAACAGAGTTTGTTGTAGGTCAACTAACACTTGCAAGAAGAATTTGGAAGGAAAATCTTTTATCTATAATCAATATAGTTTTATATTTTATTTTGTCTTAAGAGTATTAGTAATTTTCATGTCCTTTTACTTTCATATAAGTTTCACCTCAGCTGTCTCTATACACTCAGTCACCTACTCAGATCTGTGATTTTTATTTTTGGTTACCATCTCCTGTGAATCCTGGGTCAATTTCTTCAATTGGCACCAGGTAGGTTTTAGTCCTATCCTTGTCCGTTGGCTGTGGTGTGGTTTCCAAGGCATCACTGTCATAGGACTGTACATCAGCTTCTTGAAAGGTAGAATCAACTTCTCCATATCTGGGTCCATGATACAGCCAGACAGCATTCTCTGGCATCAAGACAGGCCATTCAGCATTATCTGTAAAAACACAGGCATAGCCTCAATCCCAGAATAGCACTGAGCTATGTCCCTTTCATTATCTAGTATGAAGCTCTTTCCACAGGACCCTTCCTAGCTTTTTTCTTTTATTTGAATTGTCTTTCTGCTACTGTAGTTTCATCCTTAGTAGGATTTAAGACATTAATAGTATATACTGCCAAGTGAAGTCTATTATGAAGTATACATTTTGTACAGAATTTCCCCTCCATTTTTTTTTTTTTTTTTTTTTTGTATCTGATCAAACTCATGACCTCACACTTAACAGAAAAGCACTTAAGTGGCAGGGCTAAATCCCCAGCCCTAGAATTCCCTCTTTTGTTTTTGTAATTGAATTTAGAGCATGTGGTGGGTGAGCATGTTTAACAATTCTTAGCCTATGAATGGCATCTGAGGGAGTAATAGTGACAATAGCTAGTATTCTGTTTATTGTAGCATTTCCCTCAGTTAGAGACCCTAGCAATTGGGAATGAGAAAGGTAAATGACCAATAAAGCAGGGAACATGTGACTGTATGTCAAATTGCAGAGTGTGAAATAAATAAAAAGATCTTTCTCGTTAGTATGAATGGTGGCAGTTTTAATGTAGCACATAACACCACAAGCATAAGCACTGTCTGAAAAATGGGTTAATTGGAGTGGATGAATGATCTTGTAAGGCCCATATAACAGCTTGCAATTTGTCTTCTGTGCAGAAGAAAAACTCATAGCCTATATTTGTGTACCCGGGGTTCCTGCTTGTGGCTCCTACCTCCAACGGCTCCTATCTTGTTGCACTGGGCTATGGGTGAGCTCCTCTGCTGGCAGCAAGTCCTTGGCCTGAAGGAGAACTGTTTTTCTTCATTTTCACTCTTTGGCCCCAACAATTTGGTGGCAGTGACCAGGGGGGGTCAGTACCTGCCTTGTTGCTGGGAATGGGCTCCCTTGCTGGCACCCTACCCAGGGGACATGGCAGTGGCTATTTTTGTAGCCATGGCTTTTTTTTCTTTTGAGGTAAGTCACTGCTCCTATGGCCCTGAGCAGGCCCTCATGGAGTCCTCATAGCAGCACACAGGAGATAGGGTGGGCCAGGCTTTGGTCCCTCAGCTGCTCATCACTGCCTACAGTTGCAAACACCATGTAGTCCCCGTGACCCTCCTGCCTCACCAAGCTAGGCTGCCTCAGGGAAGCTCCCCAGGAAACTCTCCATGCTACACATCATTTATTTGTATTTTCAAAGGCCAATTGTTGAGCATTTAACTTAAAGGATGACTCTATTTTTTGAAGGGTGAAAATCTCAGGCTGTGATGTAGCAAAATTTCCCTGAACTGAGAAGGCAGGAATTTCCATCTGTGACTCAGTTAAGGTTACTGGGATACTGTTGTTCCGCCATCTTTTTTTTTGCTTGGTACTTGATTTTAAAATATTGCTTTGAGTTAAAACCTTTGTGGTTGTTAGAACCCCTCTAATCAAAATCCACAAAAAGAAAGTAAATACAGGAATTACGCATATAACAAACAGAGCAATATATGTGTTTGTGATTCTTGAGACTCTGCCCCATGGTCAACAACTGGTAAAAACAATGCACCTCTTTCTTTTTTGTCTCTCTTGAGCTCATTTTTGTTTGTTTGTTTGTTTTTCTGGCTCTAGTGAATCTTTTACACTGAGTTTAACACCTGATGATGTCAATATCAATACACTCCTATGATGAATATTGATGTTCTTAATCCACTTCTGCACACTTTTGTAATCACAATGAGAAGTGTTCTCTCACTTACTATGTTTTTTTACCCTGGTCTGTGTTCAGGTATCATTTGCAGGCTTGCAGGCTTCCTACTACAACTCTACATGTTCCCCAGTGGAAGGATGATGAGGGGATAGAAAAATAAAGAAATGAGATGAAAGCTGAGTTCAGGGAGAGCCCACTCTGGATGGGAGGAAAGGAACTGCTCAACCACTGTACTGTGTCTATTTAAACATTAGCAATTTAGTGTCATGTGACATGTCATTGCCTAGCAACCTGCATCCATGGCATATGTGATCAATCTCCAGCTTCAGCTATTCCCTACAGTTATCCTCTTGCCTCAGCCTCCCAAATGCTGGAGTGACAGGGTTGCCCTACCATTCCAGGCTATTTTTTTCTTTTTGACATATTGATTCTTTCATTCATATATGTTGGAATACATAAAATTTACATTTGTTTGAAAGGATTTCTTTAATTAGCATCACAGGATGGGTTCACTGGGAACAGACTCTAAGGCAGAGATTCACATGCAGAAAGTTTATTTGCTCTTGGATGCCACACATATAGAGAAACAGCAGCATTGGGCTGAGGGAGAAGCTGACCTGTGGCACAGCCTCAAGAAAGGCCTCAGCTGATTCAAGGGGACCCTGGCACTGGGATAACCCTTCTCAGATGCAGTGAGTGGATGGAACTTTGAATCCTGCATTGATCTTTCTGGGTGCAGGCTGCTCCCAGGAAGGGTGCATGACCCTGGGAGAGGCAGATGATCAAGCTCAAAGTCCAAGTTGCCAGTCTCTACTTCTTGGCTGTTAGGACAAAGGCTTTAGTGGTGGGTGTGCAAATAATCTTTGAGATTCAGCTTTTAATTCTTTTGGGTATATACCTAAAATTGAACTTCCTGGACTATATGGTAATTTTATTCTTAATATTTTAGGGGCACTTGTTTTCCAGACAATTGTACTGTTCTACTTGCTTGCTTATAATGTACAAGAGTTTTAATTTTGCCATATCCTTGGCCAACAATTTGTTATTTTTTTAATCATCATAATGGGTTTAAGGTACTATCTCATAATAATTTTGATTTTATTTCTTTAATACAATTGTTTTTTGAAGTAAATTTTATTATCTTATACTTCTAAAAGTAATATATTGTATTCATCGTAGAAAACTGGGAAAATACAGGAAACCATAATAAAGAAATAAACATCTCTTGGAATCCTGGTAGGGTGATCAGTGTAGCACTTTATTCTGTGTCTGTTGAGTCTTTAATTCTGTCCCTATTTATACATGGCTGATGCTGGCCCACACTAGCTTTGATACAGTTTAGCCAAAAGCATCCTATTCATGGGGTGAGTGCAACCCAGGGCCAAGATGTACAGCTTGATAAGCAAAGCACAGCTAGATTTCAGACCTTACTTGCTGCAGGGCAGGTGCTTTGAACAATGTGTACAACCACATTGCAGTGCTGAATGTACCCATGGGTTTTAATTAATTTATTTTTTTGTAAAACTGAGATCATAGCCAGACATGGTGGTTCACACTTGTAATCCCAGCATTCTGGAAGACAGAGGTAGGAAGATCAAAAGTTTGAGGCCTGTGTGGGCAATTTGGCAATTTAGCAAAACTCTGTCTCAAAATAAGAGCTGGAAATGTAGCACAGTGCAAAGACCCTCTACCACAACAAACAAACAAATGAAAAGCAAGATCCTACTAGTTTGAAGTCTGTGTTTGGGTAGAATGTAATTTAGTCAACATTTATTGGATAGTTGTTTATAAAGTTCTGATGTTATAAAACCTTGCTGATATAATCCTTGTATATAAATCTTGCATATTTAAAATTAATTCCTTATGATAAATTCCTATAAATTGCTTTGAGAATTAAATTCACTAAGTGCTTATTATGTGCCTTGGATTGTGCTCTGAAACCACGCGCGCGCGCGCGCGCGTGCGCGCGCGCAC